TTCAGTGGGATTGGTGGGGAGTGCCTGGCCTGCAAGACCCTGTTGGCTGAGACCCAGTAGGCTAGCACAACCCAGGTCCCAGCACCTGGAGGTGCACTCTAGTGGTGAAGCCTTTGGTAGGTTGACCTGGAGGGGCAGGCCCAGCATAGACTGCCCAGGTCTGTGTCTCCCTGGTGCGCTGCGGTGGGCGGGAACACCTAGCCAGCACAATTCAAACAGACTGTGGCCAACAGGGAAGGAAGCTGTGCCTCTTATATACGCTTATATATAAAGAACAAAGAATATGGGAAGAGGGAGCAACAAGAAAGGGTCCTGGGCCCCCAATCCTGAGAAACATGCAATAGCAGACATGGCACCAATAGACATAAAGTGCTATCTCCAGAGCCTCATAGATGATTTCAAGCATGAAGTTATTAATGACCTGAAGCAAGACATAAGCAGAATAGTAATGTTAAGCACCGCCCAAGAAAAAACAGATGGTGGAATGGAAGAACAGAAGAAAGGGGGAGAATTGTTTGATGGAGAAAACAGAGAAAACATAGAATACGTGAAGCAGGTTCAAAGAGATTACCAGGAAACTAAAAACTCTATCAAAAACTGGCATAACAGCTTGAAAGAAACTAAGGATTGATTATCTGAACTGGAGGGCAGATTTATAATATGGGAGCATGAAATGAAAAACTTATTAAAAATAAAAAAACAGCAACAATACAAAAGCTAGAAGATGATAAGAGGATCTATAACTTAAGAACATAAAAGAAGAAGTGGGGATACAAACAAATGGACTACAAAAGCTATTCAGAGAAATAATCCAAGAGAATTTCCCTAATTTAGCAAATGGTAAAAATAACTCAGATATATGAGGCATACAGGACTCTAGCCACCTACAACCCAAACAGAGCTACACCCAGGCATATAATAATCAAAATTCCAGAAATCTAATATAAGAACAGAATATTAAAAGCCATCAGAGACAAGAAACAGATCACTTACAAGGGAACACCCATCAGAATTACAGCAGACTTCTTGGCACAAACCATCAAATCACGAAGAGTATGGGGGGAAATAATTCAAGCTTTGAAAGATAATAACCTCCAGCCAAGATTGATATATCCTGCACAACTGTCCCTAGAAATTGATGGAAAAACAAGGTACTTCCAGGATAAAGAGGAAGTAGCGGAATTTGCAACCACCAATTCAGCTCTACAGAGAATACTGCAGGATAGTCTAAAAAAGGAAAATACCAAGATTCCAGAAATAGTGGCAGAGAGGCCACAATGAATAGAGCAGAAAACGAAATGAAGAAGACAAACTGACAACAAAGGACAGAAAAAGATCTCAACAGAAATGAGGCAGAGAAGATTGGAAGGTAGTAACAGCTATTTTGGAGAAAACAAGACATCCTAATAGCTAGTGCTGATTTAGTATCATCTTGTTTTGAAGTCCCATCAAACTTATATTCTTCTGTCTCCATCAGTCTTAAAAGGTTGTGTCTTATTGGATTTTATTATATGTGATAAGATAAAAACTTTTATAGATAAGGAGTTTATATAGAAACCATTGTTCATTTTCTGTTAATTGGTTCTAAATACACTGTAATAATGTCATTCTCTTGAATGGTTTTATAGTGTCTTGATATTTTTGGTGCTACAGTATACGAAGTTATACTCAAAGATTTCAAGGAAAGAGACACTATGGTAACTATTTTTATGTCAGGATATCTTGAGGTGAAACACTATTTTGCACAAATGGTTATGGTTTGACCTGCGCTGTTCTGTTGTTATGCCCTCTTTTATCTCAATCCCCTTTTTTAAATTATTTACTTTTTCCTTTTCTTTATTTAATTAAAGGAAAAATAAGTAAAAAATAGCAGGATACATTATAGTAACCTACTATGATTTCCTATTAACTTGATTTGAAATCCTGTATGGCCCTCACCATCTTGTTTTGACTGATTGTCCTCTATTCTGCTTTGGTTGATAGTACCAAGTTCGAAAGTATAGGCATAACTGTGAAGACAATAAGAATCATTATGACACCCATTCCGGTTGACTATTATTTTCTTTTAAAATCTTGTAATGTCTCCAATGCTTTGGTTTTATTCTTTACTGTTTAGTTCAATTTTATTATAACTGCCAATTCTTCTTAAAATAACAAGAGGCAATATGGTAACCTTTGTTGATCACCTTATATTTTGTTTTTACATTATCTATTATGTCCATCCTTTTGATTTGATGAGTCTGTTCTGTTATGTCGCATTTGGTTTTACTCTCTTCAAAAAAAGTAATAAGAACTGTGGGAGTAATAAAATGCAAAATGTGTAATTGTCATTGTACAAAAGAGAGGAAAAGTGTTCTAAAGGATATAACTGCATATACATTTAAGTGTATAAGGTAGATAAGCATATTACTGAGTTTTATTGGATCATTGAACAAAACTGTTTGCAGTCTCACTGTTTGAAAGCCCACTTTATATGCTTTAATTTTGTAACTTGAACAACTATTTCTAAGATGACAGTATGTAATCTATTAACTAGTGATTTCCTACTGTTTATTTTTTCTGAAATTCTGTATAACTTGTACCCTTTTTCTGTTTTTTTCTTTTTTTTGTTCATGAACTCTTGGCATACTCCCATATCTTCAAGATTTATACTTACCTTGTCTTCTATTTTAATATTTAGATCTTTGATACATTTTTTTTTTTAACTTTTATCGGTACTGGGGATTGAACTCACGACCGCCTGCTTGCAAGGCAGGTGCTTATTCTGCTGAGCTAAATCTCCAGCCCCTTTGATCCATTTTGACTCTAGTGCACAGTGATTGACATGGGTCTAGTTTTAGTCTTTGGCATGTAGAAAGTCAGTTTTTCCCACACCATTTATTAAAGAGGCTATCTACATGTTTGGCCCCTTTGTCAAAGATAAGGTGGCTAAATGTCTTTGTAGTTGTGTCTACATTTTCTTGAAAGGAAAAAAAATGCTCAAAAGGAAAAATAAATGGGATAGGGGAAAGGAGAAAAGGAAGAAGAGTTTATATGTACATAGGTATACATACATATCTCTGTATGTAAGTATACACTAGATAAACTATACTAGTAATCTCTATAAGTTCATCAAAAAGAACAGTTTGTGCTTTCATTGTTTGGTCATTTTTCCATGTCTAAATCTTGTAATCTGAACAACTACTTCTAAGATAACAACATGAAATATATTAACTAGTGTACTACCTACTAGTTTTGAATTTTTTGTCATTTCTACTTTTGTTTTTAAAATAAAAAATTAAAATTCTTGTGTTTGCTTAAACACTTTTTTAACTTTACTCACTTTTTTATTCATCAGATGTCTGTGTTCTAAAACTTTGATGACAGCTTTTGCTTTTTCTACATGTTCAGCTATCATATTTTTATTTTCATTTTTTGTTCATTGGGTTCTAAAATATTTCTTACCAACCTTTTGGTGCAGCTCAAAGAATGAAAAGAGGTAAAAATGGAATTCACCTCTAATCTTTTACTTCTATTGAGGGGTATTTGTAGGTTATTCTTACTAGTTCCTTTCTTGATTTTTTAGGTGATAGTTATAGGAATAATAATAATTACTGGACACTAGAGAGTTTGTACTGTAGGAGGGAGACATTTATACCAGTGAGGCTAGAAGAATTATTGCAGGGAGGAATATTTGTGGAGAAATAATTGGGATTAATTATGCAATATAGGGCCTAATATATATGTTAGGAGTTGTGCTGTTTTTCAGAAAAATAATAGAAATAGTGGAAATAACACTATATTACTTAGTATACAAAAATTCATAAATATTTTGAAATATACTATAAAATAGTACAAACACTACATAATCTTGTGGAGAGATTATTGGTCTTCTTGAATGTATTGAAGTTTGGAAGCAAAGACTACAATAATTTTTAAATCTATCAGAGAAAGCTCATGTTTTTCTTGATAACTTAGATGTAGTGAAGAAACTTCAAATATGGAGGATAGTATTACATATTTAACCAAAGTGAGGAATAGGAATAAAATGGAAATTATATTGTCCAATGTTTATGAATATGGGAAAATGAATGATAGACAAAAATCTGTGTTGGATCAGATTGTGTTAGCTTCTCTATCATTTACTAATTGTAGTGCTTTGGGCAAACATTAGTTAATTTCTTTAATTCATTGTTTCCTCATTGTAAAGTGAGGATAGTAATACTATCTACATTATTGGACTTTTGTAAGGATTGAATGGGTTTATATGTCTAAGACATTTTAAGACCTCACTAAATGCTAGAGATCATCATCATCATCATCTTCATAGTAGTTGTCAGTACTGTCAAAATAATATTCTGTGGCTTCATCTGTATAATTCTCACTTAATTTTTGTGACCAAAATGAAGTTTTCTAGCTTTCTCAATCATTTATTTTTGGGAAAGATTGGTTATTATCTTTATGCGTCAATAAGTAGTAGGTGGAAAAGATGTTAGTATTTACCTGTTTGGTTACTTGATAAAAATCTCTTTACTTTTGCTTATTTGAGCTATAGTATTTTAACTTAAGAACTTCTTTGAATAGTATTTTGTTTCTATTTCCTCTCTCCATCTGTCTAAAGTATTTTGTTTACTCAGGTAGTTTCCCATATAAATACCTCTGTTAAAATTAAACTAAATTTAAGTTTAGTTTGTTTCAAAAAGAAAATTTTTATCATATATTTTAAAGCCAAATATAATTTTTAAAACTTTATTGTTTTTTAAGTAAATATTTTTACATTTACTTTTACTTCTTGAACTTGACTAATCAAGAACTAAGTATAATTATGAGAGTTCTGCCTTATTATCTAAAATTTGCATCCTTTCACGTTTTAAACACTGAACTCTGAAACCTAACACAAATACTGTAAGAACATCTGAGGTGGATAATTAAAGTATAATTAAGTTTAAATGCCTTGGTGAAGGAGTATAAAAATTATTTAAATTCAATCGGCTAGTACATTTGCAGTTTTCTTTTATTAGGTGTGAAATCTAAGAATCCCCTGCCAGCTCTTGAGGGCTCAATCCAGAATGTTGAATTGAAGTACTGCAGCACATCATTGGTCAAATGTGCCTCTGGGACCGTGGGATCAATAAAAATTTGTGCCAAAGCCCCAGGTATGTGCAGCTGGACCGTGTAAAACTTTATTGCCTGTATAGGAGAATTGGCCTTGCATTTTACAAGGAGCATTACTGAAACAAGAATTTACTCATTGTTCCTATGAATCAGAGGTTTTAATTTTTTTTTAGTTTTACTTAAAAAAGTTTAAAAGTGCCAGAATGACACTTCTTGACTTTAAGAAATTGTTTTTTAATTATAAAAAATGCGTAGCTTTAAGAAATTATGAGGGAGAATAACTGAAGCAATATAACCCTTTGGGGCGAATTAGGAGTTATATATGACAAATATTAAGTAAAATTATGTTAGTCTACTAGGATTGAAATCCTGACTCTTTATAAATTTAGGGTTATAATTGACTCTTCCTTCCTACCAGTGTTTTACTTCTATTTTGTAATTACTCAGCACAATAAATTTTAAGATAAGTTGATTGTAGCACAGATTATGTAGAATTTTAGAAGACAGTGTTTACTTATTTTTATAAACTTTTTTGAACATATTCCGTATTCATTAGCAGGATGTTTAAGGATAGTTTTAAATTAGAGATGCTTTTATCAGCCAGACTCCTTAAGAGTATAACCAAATGTATTGGTAATGTTACCAAATAAAATTGAAATGTTATGGTGTTAGGATATTTTTAAGATCAAACATCTTTAAACTATGGCAATAACGTTTTACTTTGTAAATTTGTATTGATATTTTGTTTGTTTATTTTTCACTCAAAATTTCTGTTTAGGTGACATTGGAAAAGAGAAGTTGATCCCCTTACTTCAGGGTCCATCTGACACTAAAGACCTTCATAGTACCAAGTGGCTCAATGAAAGTAGAAAGCCAGAATCTCTTCTGGCTCCAGATTTGATAGCCTTTACAATCCAAGTTCCCCAATATATGGATTACTGCCACAATTCTGGTAAGTACCAACCTATCATTATTCCATCATTTTGCATTTTCTAGAGTGTTTTTAAATTAGGCTTCGTAAAAGGATAGTTTATGTTTATTGGAATGTCCTCTGCATTTTTGCTTCTCTAAAATGCAAATGAGTTTTTTCATGTCTTCTTTGATTATTGAAATGTTTACAATAAGTTTTGAAGAATTTAGTTTTGTTGTAGTACCTTTTTCAGTTGACTACTGCAAATTAGTTTTTGAAAGGCCTATCTGAGAATGCTTTGTCATCATGATTCTAGAGATAATACTCCTCAAAATAAAGGTTTCAGCCTGGTGAGAATGGTGAGAAATGAAATCTGAAGGAAGGAATTATATGAAAATGAGGCCATACCCAAAAGTACTATATGAATAAGAGATTTTATCCATTTTTTACAGCAGCAATTGGTAAATATTTTAATAAAGGGACAGAGAGAAATTCTAGGTTTTGTGAATTGTTGTGTTCACTGACCTCAACCATCTTGTTTGGCTCTTGCAACACAAAGATAATCATTTACAATGCATTAATGAATGGATGTAACCGTGTTCTAGTAAAGTTTTATTTATAAAAACAGAGAGTGGGACAGATTTGTATGGTTTACTGACCCCTGTTTTAGGGAGAAGAATTAGTGGTTAAGCTGAGGATTTAGCTCAATGGAGTAAGCGCCTACCTTGCAAGTGTGAGGTTTTAAGTTCGATTCCCAGTACCAAAAAAAAAAAAAAAAGGAAAGAAAAAAAGAATTAGTGATTAATATCTCTTAATTATGCTGTTCATTAACCCTTTTATGTAATTATCAACATAGTACTTTTTTGGTATTTTCTCATTGTTGTATTAAGATTTTAATTAAACTGAGCAAATCATTCATTTACAAGTTTGGTACCTATAAAGGAATTACTCCTATCTGAATCTGTTACATAGTCTTGAATTAGTCAAGAACTGCTAAATTTTTAATTTGGCATATAACTAGAGTAACAAGGTGATCTTTTAACAATATTTATGTCATTCTTTGTGATTTAAATGTATTTCAATGTTTAGAAAGTATATTTGAATTTTCTTTATATGAATCTAAAAGTAAACTATGATAGGAAGAATTATCTGTGATACCTGTTATATTAGATGAATTTTTGTACTTTTTGTTAAGGAAATTCTTGTAATCTTCAACATTAGTTTATATTTAGTGATATTTATGGATTTATGTATAAAATTTTACTATAATCATCCCGTTTGGTACTTTGAAAATATTCCTTTGGGTATATATGAATCCTAAAATTTAACATGTTTTTATGTAAACTGTATTCACATTTATTTAGGCTATTTTCAAATTTAAGTTTTCCATCCACCTTGGAACTGCTACCCACAGACAAGGTTTAGGTACTTATAATATTGTTGAGAGAGCTCATACATACATTTTAAAGCCAATTTTAACAAAAGTAACTAAGTAAAACTGTAACTCAAGATTATATTCAGTTTTCTTTGGTTTTTAGCTGGAATATTTAATGGAAATGAGATTAAACAGGAATCTTTCCTGGTGATAAAAAAATGGATGTTAAGTAGATAAAACCTTTTGCGGTAAACATCAAAAGAGAAGTTCAGGTTATCTGCTGGCCTTTTCAGAAACAGATGGGTGTCTCAGTGACTTTGTTAATGATGTTTTCCCATGAATCTGTAGACTTTTCAGTGATGCGCCTACTAACAGGCTTCTGAGGCCCTGGGATAATATGTGCAAGATAGTCACCACTGTGCCTTTGCTCCAAATTGAAGGAGAGATTAAAACTAGGACCAGTAAATTCGGTTGATATTATACAGAAGTTAGTTACATGATTTTGAGAGGAGCTTAGTCAGGTAGGGTCCTTTGTGATTTTAGAGTTTGAAGAAATGGACAACTTCATTAATAGGACCTATGAATTAATGGTCAGACTCTGAACTGGCCTGGAAGATGGATCGTCAGACTAGACATTTTTACATTTTCTAGGTTGTTTACCAGTTTGTCTTTTAACGTTAGGATTTGAATTGATGAACATTACATCCCTCAGCCTTAAAAGTCCTTAACTTCAAGGAACCTCTTTATATTAACCATTGTCAAAAGAACCACACTTTTATAATCTCACAAAACTACTTTGTTTTTGAAGTGTTACCAACTCCCTTTGTACTTTTCTATCTTTCTCCCTTGATTGCACTCTATAGTTTGCTGGACTTATTACAGTGAAGGAGCTGAAGGGGGTCTTATGGAAATTCTGCATACCAAACCATATTCTGTTACTTTAAGAGGCCCAGTGAATGATACTGACATTTCTTATGTTTGTGTAGATCTTATAAGTCAAATATGGAAATAGATGTTTCTTTGGCTTCTGCATAGGAAAAAGTATTAGTTGGCAATAGATGATGTATATAAAATATTTCAAAATGTATTTTAAACATTTTTATTTTCTGCATATTTAGACTTTAGTTCTTTTTCATATACTATCTTTTGCCCAAAAAATCTAAACCTTTGTTCATTGTAGTATTAATATATGAATATATTTTAGAGTTTTGTTATTAATCACAGAGACCTGTCAACTTAGAATCAAAAGAGATAGGAAATCATCAATTCAATTTCTGATCCAGTATTAGACCTCTTTACATATCTCCATATAGACATTTATTGCAGATCTACTAGCAGTTTTCAGTGTCTTGTGGTAATTATCCTTTTACTATACTATTTGTTTTCTGTGTGGGTTTCTTACAACTGTTCTCATTCCCTCTCTCTCTCTCTCTGTCCCTCCCTCTCTCTCTCTCTTTCTTCTGTCTGTCTGTCTTTTGTGGTACCCAGGTATCAAACTGACAACCTCACACTTGCAGAGCAGGTGTTGTGCCACTGAGCTCTATTTTCAGCCATGTCCTTGCTCTTCTTATACCTCTTTAATTCCAGTTTAGTCTTTTAACATTTAGTTCAACCTCTGCCTCTTTAAAGAAGCTTTCCCTGAAATTCCTACTCCCTCCCCATTTGAAGAGGTACCTCTGTTAATATTCTTTCATAGTTTAATGTACTTTCTTCATAGGCCTGATGACACTGTATACTTATATGGTCTGTCTTCATCACTTACTAGTGAGTTCCAGTGTTAGTCACTGGTTGCTCATCATTTTATCATCAAGACCCTAAAATTACCTTATTCAAGGAATGCTTGAAAGATCAGTTGTTAAATGAATGAATAAATGAATGCATTTTTATGACTGATGGGCAGGGTATGAATGTGTTTGACAGAATTTACTCAGAAGCAAGTTCTTAATTTATAAGAAGTGCCTCCTCTCTTTTTCTTCCTCCTCTTTTCCTTCAAATAACTGCTGCTAGAGAACATATCTACCAATGTCTTCCTCTGTTAGATAGTTTTAATTACTAGCAGATCATTTGTTCATTGGACTGTAAGTTACTTGTTCTGGTTTTACTCTTATTAGTTATGTGAAATAATGTGTCAGCCTTAGTGTACCTTACTTAACCCCAGCCCTTTCTTTTTCATCCTCTTCAGTCTGTGCATTTATCGCTGTGATCATAACGAAGCCTTCATCTGTTTAGTCTCCACATGCTTAAGAAACAAGTTACTATAGGACAGTTAGGATTTTTGGAAACCTTGTGAGTGGAAACAGTGACTGTTTTTTTCTTTTGGAGTATTCTTTGAAAGATGTTTGTTTATTGAATGACCTTAGAAGATAAGATAAAGTAGCAAATGGAGTATACTTACTCTACCCGTTATAAAACATACAGTTCTTAACTCATTCACTCCATGTGTAGACATCTAGTTTGACACATCTTTGTGTCATCTTAATTGTGGAACACAGGGGCAAAGGGAACTGATGCAAATATATTGATATGTGCCCTAATTAATAACATCCTTAATGTGACTGAAGAATATTATCTTTAGCAGTATTTATGAGACTGTGGTTGGATAAAATCTTAGTTCTTTTAAAATTCTTGACACCAGAACAATGCTGTTTGTTATTTCTTCTTTTTGATTCTCTTAAAACAGATGTTTCTTTTTGTTCCTTAAATACAGTTTGTTTATACAATTATTATAGATCTTTTTCTTTCTATTTGGGTTATTTAAGCAACACAATTTTAATTACTAACTATACTTTTATACCTCTGTCCATTTATTTTATTTGATATCCACATTCTAAATTTCAGCCACCACTTGCCATTTTCCTGAGCGTATTTTAATGGTGCCTATTTAATAAAATCACTATGTATTTTCTCTATTTCATTCATAATTACTGTTTAAAGTAATGCTTTCCCTCTTGATACTTAATATTGTCATTTTCAGGATTAGTTTAGTTCCTTTTTTTTATACAACTGGTATCTTACAAAAGTTCCCCACCTTAACTAAATAGTGTGAGCTAAAGATCACAAATTTATTTTCCTCGTGATTCAGATTCATTGCCATACTATTTCTTCTGTATTTGAAAATATCTCTTTCTAAATGTGTGCTCTAAAATTTTATAGTGCCTTATATAACAAAATATATAAATATACTTCTCAGATTTATAGTAACTATTTTCTTCACTTTGTATGCCACTAAAAATCATCAGTTTTTTTCACATGATCTATTGTTAAGACAATTTACTATATCCAGATTAGTTTATGAATTTACATGGAAATCTTTACACTTATTTCTATGGAGTTTTCCCAGTTTGTATTTCTCCTTAATTAATAATAAAGATATCTTTCCATATATCTTATGACTGTACTTACTTGCAGAAGTCAGGTGACATGCTATTTTATATTTTTATTGTATAAAAGTCAAAATATCTTTTTCTTTATAAGACTAGAAAAACAGAAATTAGTTGATTATTGTGGTATTCTAAAACAATGTAAAACAAGTGTTTCTCTCAAAGGAATATATAAATATAATAACAATTTAAGCCAAAATTCTTATTCTTTAATCTGTTTCATATGTAATATTTCCAAGTTTACTACATTGTCATGAATTTTTATACAGTTTAGACTTTACTCATCA